CCAGTCGATTGCCATTTAATGATGGTTTCAACAGTCATTTCTCTCTCTCTCTCTCTCTCTCTCTCTCTCTCACTCACTCTCTCTTTGCAGTAAGCATTTAGAAAATGACAAAATATATTCAGAGAAAGGGAGATTGAGCACAGGCAGCATTCAATAACACACAGAGTCATATACACAGGAATCGTATGTAATGTTAGTGATGTGGTGTTGAATGCAATGATACAGAAGTCAAGTGAAAGGAGATGAGAGAGAGAGAGAGAGAGAGAGAGAGAGAGAGAGAGAGAGAGAGAGAAAGAGAGAGAGAGAGAGAGAGAGAGAGAGAGAAAGAGAGAGAGAGAGAGAAAGAAAGAGAGAGAGAGAGAGAGAGAGAGAGAGAGAGAGAGCATTCAGCAAATGAAGAATCGATATTTGAAATGAAACCGAGTTTTTGACGGCACAGTTGGATAAGGATAGGGATGTAGAGCTGTTGTTGTTGTTGTTGTTGTTTGTATGCTATTTTGCAGCCATATATATATATATATATATATATCTTTGATTCTGTCAATTGGTTACCACACTTATAGCCGTAAAACTTATTTTATGGATAGTAAAATGTCTTTAATTTAATTTCCATATGTTTTTATATTCACTGCACATTTTACTGGTCGCCGGCACAGTTATGTTGATATATATATATGTGTGTGTGTGTGTATTATATATGTGCAGGAAACAGACACATTATATATATATAAGCTAACTATTGATGAAATTGAAGGGAAGGTTGGATATGATACACAACTGTTTGTTGAGTCGAGAGTAATCATCTGATATAAATCGCACATATAGTTGTATGATAGACACAYACATACAYACATACATACACACACAACTATCCCTTTTTATCATCTCATAGCTCATGGAGCATAGTATAGCTATTTTTTTATTAATGGACACACTCCTCGGCTTAGACACTAAGCCCTTCATCGTCTATATCTTTAATAAAATTAATATAAACATAATGTACAATAAATAGGAGGACCTCCAATTTTATGGCCATATATAATATACAGTGGCTATGACTTACTTATCAGTGCTCCAATATACAGTACAGTATATATTTGCGTGACATTATATGCCGTGCATTGCTATCATTAGGGTTAAACACCCATAGAATATACATATATATATAATATAAATAAAATGATTGTATGAATTGAATATAATAGTGTTTTTCAAGATTTTTATAACCGATTTATATATAATATATTATATTAATAGAGAGCTTTTAGTATTTAGTTTTAGTTTAGATTATTTAGTATATTATTAGTACATACTGTTTGTACTATAGTTACTGTAGTATTACTGGGATGTAGTAATATAACTTAGTAACACCGGTAGGTTAATTGACCTCAAGTGGACTACTATTACTCATTGAAACACACACACACACACTAAATACAATTCAATATCAATTTCAGTGTCAAAATGGTTTATCATTTATTTTAATGATTTTGTGTGTGTGTGTATGTATGTGTGTGTGTATGTATGTGTGTGTGTGTATGTATGTGTTTTAACGTTCAAAGTTTAGTGTTACGCCTAATAGTGGCACACTAGGAATGGGTGATTGTATTTTTATTATTAGGGATAAAAGTGCCACTCAAATGATAATTGCAATTATAATATTGAATATCAAAAATTTTTTTTAGCAATAGTATTTGATGCTGTTTAGTAAAAAAAACTATATATATATATATATATACAGTAAAAATAATAATTTTTGTTTTTGTAGGGCTTCACACCCTTTGTATTATTTAATATTTAATATATTATATTATTATTATTATTATTCAGAGGGGGGAATGGTATGGCAAAAATTATGACTAATACTTTATGATGGGTGCCTAACCAAAAACATTGGTGTGTATGTGAGTGAGTGTGTGTGTGTGTGTGTTTGCATACTCTATGCTTTTTGAAATCCATTATGTATTAGCTAATAGTGCTAAACTGCCAGCAATTGTCGCAAATATATACAGTAGTATACAGTAGTATAGTATAAGTTTTAATTTATTGCTATGTTATTGTTGCAGTTATTATACAATTTATTATTGTATAAACCTTTGTTAATACTGAGTGAATGAGTGAGTTAGTGTTTGTGTGTATATGTGTGTGTGTGTGTGTGTGTGTGTGAGAGAGAGAGAGAGAGCAAATAGAGTCAGCAATTGAAATGAAACAGTTTCTAACAAATCTAACAAATATGACTCTAAATTGACATTTTGGCCCCAAAGCATAGCCCATTCCTATCTATACTATTGCATCCATGTGCTGGTGACTGACTCTATTTTGGTGTTACCCCTAATACAAGTAGTGGTAATGTCCGCCAAAAAACGGATCAATATTTTCAATACACAGACAGAGAATATATATATAATATTGTGAACCAACAGTAGCTTCGCCGCGAAGACCGACTACTGTTGAGAGAGAGAGAGAGAGAGAGATTTTGAGGGAATGGTAGATAAAGGGAGAGCTATTATACTGTATTCTGATGTGAGTTAAATAAGAGAGTGCTGAGTGAGGGAGAACAGGGAGATATATACAGTATATACTGTACTATACTATGGGTATAGACAGAGAACATTAGGAGCTGAATGATAGAGAGTTGACTGAAAGAGACCTAACCATACCATTACCAATGCGCTGATATATATATATTTATACAGTACATACACACACTGTATATTGTATACTGGATATATACGGGGACTGGTAGGCGACAAAATTGCTAACTGTTAAGCATTGGAAAAGTAGAAAATAAAAAGAGAGAGAGAGAGAGAAAGAGAGAAACACTCATTAATTTAAAATATATATGCATTTTGCAGATGAAAGATATTATATATATATATATATATTGCTATTGAAAAATAGCGTTTCGAGAAAATTATAGTCCCTGTGCTTGTGTACTGTAGTCCCTGTGCTGTGTGTGTCTCTCGCTATCACTTGGTTTCTCTCTTTTTTGGTTATTATTTTCTGGTCGATGTTGGTGTTGGTGTATTTGGTTGCATTCAAACTATAGTGAATGTCAGCTCCGGGTGGCAGCGCGCCAGTCGACGTCGTAGTCGACTCCTCAGCTCTTCTCTCCCACACCAACTACTACTATAGTCTACCAGTGCTACCACTAGTATATCGTTGGGAACGGTTAGATTGAGAGCTAAGCTGTGCTGTACACACACACACAACTCGGTAACGCAGGACATTTGTTGCTGTATCTTCTTCACACAGACACACACACATACACATTGACTACCAGTGCCAGTGTGTGTATGTAACTGAGCTAAGCTAAGCTGAGAGCTCCGAATAGTAGTTGGCTTTTTCGTTGTTTGGTGTTTAAGTGTTGTTTAGTTTTTTGTTGGAAGATAGTGGAGAAGCCAAGTGTTGGAGTAGTTGACGATAAAGAGTGTGAGTGTGTGTGTGAGAGAGAGAGAGAGAGAGAAAGAAAGAGAGAAGTGATATCCTAAAGCACAGGGCTGTTGGTTGGGCGCGGCATTGCATAACAAAACAAGTGAAGCGATCACTTCAACAAAAATAAAAAATATATATAAAAACTCTCTGAGCTCTGAACTGAACCGCCTCTCTGTTGTTGATAATTATTATTTTTTTTTTTGAATACTACTTGAGCTCTGTGTATATATATATGTGTGTCCGGACACTTCCGGTGCTCTCACTGTCGTTGCTTTAAGGGGGGGAGGAATAAAAACTATATATATATATATATATATAATGTTTTTTTAAAAAACGAGTTTAAACAACTAGAAGCTGACTATTATTTATTTATTTTGAATGCCTAAACCACAAGTGTGTGTGTGTATGACTTCAAACTACCTCTTTCATTACCACCATTCACCAGAGCTCTCTCTCCCTCTATCTATCTGTTTATCTATCTATCAGTGATGTGATGGCCATACACTTGGCATAGATTGGAGAGACAGACACAGAGAGAGAGAGAGAGAGAGACGGCAGTTAAATATTATACTGTATGTGTGTTTGTTATATAACGATTGTGTTTTTTTATTCAGTGCCAGTGCCAGTGTAACAACAGGAACAACTATCACCACCAGCACCACCACTACCACCAGTGAGTGACTGAGAGAGAGAAAGATAGATAGATAGATAGAAAAAAATCATACCATTGAAAAAATCTAACTGACAAAACAAGTTCATACCATATTTTCATCGACACAACGGAGAAGCTAACAACAAGCTAAACAGTACTACTAGTATTAGTAGTAGTGGTAGTGGTAACTCTCCTCCACAACAATACGAAAATATTAGTATTATTATTATTATTATATAATATATTAAATATTTCTACGAGTTATATATATATATATATATAATATAACTAATCATTTTTTGATGTCATTCCCAGAGCTGGAAATATATAAATAAAAAAAAATATTTCTATTTGTATTGTTTTTTATATCAACTCCCTGTCCTCTCCCGCGTTAATATATGACTGTTAATGACTACTAATAAGTGTTCATATTTTCAACAACAACAACAACAACATCAGAGCCAACAAAGTCATTATCGTCATCGACAACAACAACAACAACTACTACTACAACTATCACCACTAGAACCACAACAACAACAACAACCACTGCTGAGAACTGTTGGCGATTAGCCATTACTTCAAACATACTGTACATACACTACACTATATTATATACAAAATAACAGTGCTTTTCAATTGTCATCAATTATTTTGTTGATATCATATATACATATATATATACCATCTCTCCTATTGGAGTAAAACCAATAATAATTATAAAAGTGTCAATTGCTGTGAAAAATAAATTAAATCATTTTATTATTATTAATAATTTTGAGAGTTTTTCTCTCATTTAAAACAAATGTATTGAAACACACAAAAATATATTACTAATAATATATTAATTTTTTGTGATTATATAATAACCACTACAACAACAACAACAATGAGTTTCAATAATTTTATATCAATGAATCAAACGCTAAATTTTGGCGGAAATAATAATAACCAAAATTTTGTGACCGATAATATTATCGGTAATAATAATAATAATAATAATACCGTCTCCGATGGCTACTATGGCAATCGGTCATTGGCCAGCAATTCGACGGGATTACCATACGACGACAGTCCCTATAATGTCAAACAAGCTATACTAATATTTCGGCTGATTTTGCTCGGCTTGGGGTTAATCGGTAATTCATTGTTGATATTTGTCTACATTAAGTGTTCATCAATTATTACCAACCGTTTGGGCGTCTATGTTGTCAATCTGTGTATAGCGTTTGTTATCGATATGCTGGACGCAACCATCTGGTCGCTCAAACAGTTTGGCTACGACTATAAAGATCCACAATGGGCACTGCCCCATCTGGTCCATCAATTAGCTGGTCTTCCCCAAATTGGTTTACCCACTACATCCCTGTTCTTCTTTCTGATGCTATTCGATCGTCTATGGGCTACCTGTGCCGCCCGATGCTATCGATCGTGCTATGGCTCACTGGCCAATGCTTGCGTCCTAAGCGTACTTCTATGGTTGGCATCGTTTTTCATGATCTTCATCATCATATTTCCCGACCTGTTGTTCCCGTACGAGGAACTCCATACTGTCATCCGATTTTTGGTCTCCTATATCGGTCCGTTTGCATTGAAACTATTGTTGGCCATCATATTGATTGCCAAACGCAAGATGGTTCCCGACAACGACCAATCGCAAGCGTTTATCGATCGCCAACGAAAGTCTCTCTACTATACCCTAACCATTGTCATCATTCATCTGCTATTCAGTGTTCCCTACTATGTCTTGCAGACCAACATCTACTTCAAACTGGTTGATGCCATTCAAGTGGACGAATGGATCGTTTTTCTTTGCTATACCGTATCGGAGGTACCGTTGGTATTGAATCCGATTTTCTGTTTCAGTATTGAACCCGAATTCAAGGATTCGTTGGTTTCTGTTTGTACCTGTGCTGGCCGTCAGCGACGCGATCGACTCGACGGCGGCGACGATCACGCCGAATGTCAACCGCTGGCACCGTTAGCTACGTCGCCGATTGCCGAAGAAAAGGAGCATCTGGACGAAGCCGAAAACTGATAGTAATAATAATAATAGTAATAATAATATTATTATTATTTAGTGATATATATGTATATATCTATCACTAACTATGTATTGCACAATAATATATTATAATAGACTGTCTCCTCTCCGGTGAGAGAGAGAGAGAGGGACCGGGAAGTCATGATAAACCTCAATGACCTCTGTGTTTGTGTGTTTGAAGATATGTTTTTTTAGTCTAATATTTATTTATAATACATACTTATCATCGCATTTATGGTATACTTTTTCTTCTTCTACTTCTTCTACTTCTACTACTTCTTCGTCTTAATTATCATCACATTTATATGATATCATCCATTAATTAGCCACCAATTTATTCAGTCAACACTAACCGTTGATTTATTTTATTATTTTTTTTGTAAAGACAACAACAACAACAACACCAGTAAAGTATAACAACAATTATTGTAGTATATATATATACAGTATATACTGTATCTCTTATATATCTCGCAATTAGCTCTTCAAAGATATTGTTGATGTTGTTGTTGTTGTTGAAGAGATTGTTGGATCAGATGAACAAACAAAGAAACAAATAAATAAAGAAACAAACAGTTGTTTTTGTATATTTGATGTACAAATAGTTTTTAAGATTTTTTTTTAATTTTCATTTATTGATGTCTATCTCTATCTGTTTCTATCTATCTATATGTCTGTCTATATTTCAATTTTAAAATACCATTTTATATATTCAATATATATATATATATATATATATAAATTTATATATATATATAAATCTAATCAATAATTCAAATGAACAAAATGAAGATAACAAACAAAATACAGCAAAAATCCAAAATACCATTACATTTATAAATGCATTTAATTTTATTATTATTTTTATCATCATTACATAACATTATATATTTATAGAGAGTTTCATTAATTCATTACATGATTTGATATTATTTAGAGTTTATATAATATACAGTATATTTATATAGAGTTATATATATATATATATTAATTATTTAATATTACATTATTTTTATTTTTATCATTATCAGCATAATCATCATAATTATTATTTACCATATCGATTATTATTTAATACTATTAATATTAATATTATTATCATACATTTTTTTATATTATTCAAACAGGCACAATTAATTTTTTTTATTTTAAACGATTGAGATTAAATCATTTTTTCCCACTATCTATCAGTGATATCTAATATTTTATCTTTAAATATATTTAATATTATAGTTGAAACAAAACAAAAATAATATGTTAAAAGTTTGAACAATTTGAAAAATTGATAATTGTGTAAAATTAATTAATTATTATTATTATTATTAATGATATAAATATATATATATAACATTTAAAGTACTGTTGAAACAAAATTAATTGCTCAGTAATTGTCTCAAAAAAATTAAACAAATTATAATACAACAAAACATAAATAGATATTTATATATTTAAAAATGTTTATAATTATTATTAGATATTATTATTATTATTATTATTATTATTATTTTCATTTGTATAATATTTCTCTATAGTATTAATAATATAATTGTTTTTCACATAATATTTCATTTCAATTTTTTTTGGTAATTATTTATTGAAATACTTCTCTAAACATATATATATATATATAAATATCTGTCCACTAAAATAATAAAACAATTTTTAATTACATTTAAATATTGATAATAATAATAATTATTTGATTAACTTATTGGTGAACAAAAATAAATATAATACTGTACTTAATTGTAAAAAAATATTGTAAAATTTGTTACAATATTTTCTAGAGTAAGGTTTTTATTACTATTATTTATTATTGATAATGTAATGTAAAAAAACAATAAAAAAAATAATACAAATTAAAATAATAATAATAATAATAATTTCAGTGAACAAATAGCACACAACAATACATATACACACAAACAAACAAATTTTGTATAAAATTAATGATTAAAAAAATCGTGAATTAGTTTTTTTTGTTTTATTTTAATTTCTTGCAAATTAATTATATAATAATAATTTTTGTTTCAAAATAATATCTTATTTGTCTCTTTAAAAAAAATTGAACAGATAACTGATGTTTTCTTGTTTTTTTTTTTGAACAAAATAAAATAAAATTTAAATTAAAAAATATATATATTATTATTATTATTAATAATTATAATATTGTATTTAATAACCTTAATTGAACAAACATGAGATAACCAAAACAAAAAAAAAGTATACAAAACTTTTTCCACATAATTATGAATTATAATACAGTAATATTTATAATGAAATAATATACATAATAATAATAATAATAAATTTAAATAAAAAGTTTTAGAGAGAAAAAAAGTTACGATATATGCATAAAATTTTATTATTATTATTGAATGAAAAATTAAATTAACACATGATTCAATACCAAATATGGATTGACTGTATAATTAATTATATAATTTATATATATTTTCATTATTATTATTATTTATTATTATTATTACATTGAAATGTTGTATTGTATCAATATATTTATTAACTTATTGACTATTAATTTTTTTTGCATTTATATTTATTTGTCAGTATATAATTTAATAATAATAATAATAAAAAACTATTATACTCATTTTTAGTAATAATAAAATTTATAATTTTTATATCTATTTGATTATCATTATTACAGTAGTATTATTATCATTATTATTTAATAAGTATTATTATTATTGACACGAAATGTATACAAAAGTAAATAAAAATTATAGTTTTTTTTATTTGTTTTCTTTTTTATTTCGTTTATTTTTTTTAATTATTATTATGTTTTTAATTTTTTATATCCATTTAAGGCATGTTTATCACCCATTCAAACACATACTGTATAACATATTAGTAGTAGAGATTTTTAGTTAAAATAGTAATGAGATTTTTAACTATTTTATTATATTTATTTTTATTTATTTTTTTGGTTAAATATTCATTTATGGCAACTATCTATTAATGTTTGATAAGCCAAACCAAATATGATATTATTATTATTATTATTATTTTTTAGACAATTATTAGCAAATATTTATTATACAAAATTTTTATCGATTTTTAAAATAACTTTTAAAAACATTAATTTATTTATATGAAATTAATAATAATTTATTACTATTATTAATACTACTTCTATATTTGTCAATAGTTATCTATTATAATTAAGTTTGAATGATAAAAAAATTAATAAATAATAAATTAGTATTAAATAGCATTAAGTTAATAAAACAATTGTATACTGTTTTTTTAAATAATATATAACAACAATAATAATACTGTAAAAACTACAACAACTATAAATTTAATAACACATGAAAAACAAGCAAAATGTTAATCAAGAGATTAAATTTATTTATACACTAATTATATTTAACACACAAAATAGCATTTAATTTTGTGTTTGTATGTACTGTATATATATATATATACCGTATAGTATACCATATACTATACAGTAAATTATGTGTTTAATAATTAAAATTGATAGCAAACAACAAAAACAAGTTTTTCTTTATAAACTCATTTAATAAAATTTAAAAAAATAAACATTCATTAACTGTAATTTTCACGAATCAAAGTTTTTGTATAACAATTATATATATATATAAACTTTCTTTAGATAAGTTTATATAAAATTTTTAAATGTATTAAAGTATTTAATATATATGACTGTAATTAGAGGTAAATATTAAATACTCATAATAAATGTTAATATTGAATGATAAAAAAAAATAAATGGTTATAAGCTAAATAAAATTGTGATATAATATTATATACAATATATATATATATATATATATTGCAATAGTGGGTCAAATCAGCAAAATATTTAACTATTAAATAAGTTTTGTTTTTATTTAAATAATTAAAAAACATAATTATTACATAAGCTAAATTATTGAAAACTTTCCCTATAATAAACAAATGCTTATATACACTAATATTTCTACATTAAATAATTTTATATTGAAGTCAAGGATAACATACATAATTAAAATATATTGTAAGGGTATATTATTTGTTTTACTCCGAAAAAGTATTTCAAAAATTATTCTTATTTTTATTTGTTAAAAATTTATAACAGCACTAAAATGTTATACAGAAAACCTAAAGGTAAACACCTTGTTTTTAAGGAAATTTTATTCAATATTTTAGTGTTAAAATAATGCACTAAAATGTTATAGAAAAAATTAAATAGTAAACTCCCAGTTTTAATAGTGATTAAAACCTGACTCAATGTGACACACTTTTTATGAACGTACACTTTAGTATAAATAGAGGTGTCTCTCAAACACCAAAATCAGTTCTCCACTTGGAGTCATACTACGTGTATTGCTTTAAAGTGAATTAATAAAAGTATTTGCATATTACTTTGTGTGTGTTTACTTTCTCGACGCGGACCAATCGTTGGACATCTTAAGGGACGCCTTCAGAATACATCCATAACCACGCGGACGTTAAACAACTATTACGTAAGTAAACATTTTTATTATGAGAACTCCGGCACCGTACCGTATACGGGGGCATCTCACACCCGAACTCTTATTGGAACCTACGGGTGAACCTACGGGTGAACCTACGGGTGTACCTACGGGTGAACCTACGGGTGAACCTACGGGTGAACCTACGGGTGAACCTACGGGTGAACCTACGGGTGAACCTACGGGTGAACCTACGGGTGAACCTACGGGTGAACCTACGGGTGAACCTACGGGTGAACCTACGGGTGAACCTACGGGTGAACCTACGGGTGAACCTACGGGTGAACCTACGGGTGAACCTACGGGTGAACCTACAGGTGAACCTACGAGAGTACCTACAGGTGAACCTACGAGAGTACCTACAGGTGAACCTACGAGAGTACCTACAGGTGAACCTACGAGAGTACCTACAGGTGAACCTACGAGAGTACCTACAGGTGAACCTACGAGAGTACCTACAGGTGAACCTACGAGAGTACCTACAGGTGAACCT